ACAAGGCAGCAAAGCTGTCAAATGTACAGACAAAAAACAGGAAATAACTATGCACAAAATAGGCTACTGTCAATTCTGATGCAAAAGTACATTATGTTAAACTGCAAATTCAACATCAAATTTTAATGATTGAATCTGACAAACTGCAATGATATGAGTTTATTTCCATTTTTGAAACTTTATTACACAATACACGATGACAAGTTTACCATCAGTTTTACATAATCAACTAATAATGTTGTAAAGATGCAGGAAATGCCAAACAAACACTTTTACTTATCTTATTAATTAAATAATGAAACTGTTAACATGCCTAAGAACTGAATCTGAGGAAATGTGAAAAAATGGCATTTCTTTAAAATAATGGCCCGATTATGCTGATTTTTTAACTCAACCTGCGTTTTAGCAGGAATGACCACTCCTGTGAGTTTAATGACAATTGGCCTATCTGTTTTTCTTATATTGTGTTAACAGTGTTGCATATATGCTGAAAAGTGAAAAAACAGCATAACTACTAAAATAATGGCCCGATCATGCCTATTTTCAAACTTGACCTGCGTTATAATAAAATCAATTACTCCTGTGAGTTTCATGACAACAGGCCTATCAGTTTTCCTTGAAATGTGTTTACAGTGTTGCATATATGCTGAAAAGTGAAGAAACAGCATCACTTCTACAAAAATGGCCTTATCATGCTGATTTTAGAACTTGACCTGCGTTTTATGAATATTCATCAGCTCTGTAAATATACAGCCAAAAAGTAAAACTGCCTTCCACTTATCATGTTTACAATGAAAGTGCACGGCGCCAGTGACAGTGACGGCGACGACGGCAGATGCAGGTGATGGCAATATGTACAGACACATCTGTACGTATTTACTGTACGGTTTGAGAACAGTAAGTGACATTGTTTTTCTTAAATGGTCATCATGGGAGTAGTGCCCAAAATAGGTTTTTTTTCAAATTTTGATGCAATATTACATAATGTTTAACAGCATAAAGACCATCAATTTTTAATAATAAAATATTAGTATCATGGATATTCAGAAAATGTGACTAGCAAAGGTCTTCAGGCCCATGGAACTTCAAAGTCACAACTTGAAAATGCCAAAATGTAAACAAGACAGCACTGTTCTGAAATGTTTTTTTTTTTTTATTTTTAACAATTTTTTTAACATAAAACAAAATTAGCAGGTTACTGCCATTTTTATACGATCAACTAAGAAAATTGATGAGATGGGAAAAATATCAATACAACAGTGTTAAATGTCCAATTTCCTCCATTCTGAGATTCTGAACATAGTGAATGATTGAATCTGACAAACTGCAATGATATGAGTTTATTTCCATTTTTGAAACTTTATTACATAATACACGATAACAAGTTTACCATCAGTTTTACATAATCAACTAATAATGTTGTAAAGATGCAGGGAATGTCAACCAAACACTTTAACATGTCTTATTAGTAAAATAATGAGACTGTTAACATTCCTAAGAATTGAATCTGAGGAAATGTGAAACAAGACAGCACTGTTCTGACATGGGTTTATATCCATTTTAAAAATTTTTAAACATAAAACAAAATAAACAGGTTACTGCAATTTTTATATGATCAACTAAGAAAATAATTGAGATGGGGAAAATATCAATAGAATAGTGTTAAGTGTCTAATTTCCTCCATTCTGAGATTCTGAACATAGTGAATGATTGAATCTGACAAACTGCAATGATATGAGTTTATTTCCATTTTTGACACTTTATTACATAATACAAGATAAAAAGTTTACCATCATTTTTACATAATCAACTAACAATGTTGTAAAGATGCAGGAAATGTCAAACAAACACTTCTACTGCGTTTTAATGAATATTCATCAGCTCTGTAACTTTATATTAAGCCAAAAAGTAAATCTGCTCTCCACTTATCGTGTTTACAAGGAAAGTGCACGGCATCGGCATCGCATCGGCATCGGCATCGGCGACGACAGACGCAGGCGATGGCAATATGTACAGACACATCTGTGTCTGTACATAAAAATCTGCCTCTTTCAATTTATGGCAAGCGCAATGAGGACGGCACAGAGAACGGCACATACAGAGGGAAATAAATATTTTTAATTACTAATTCAAGCCTGTCAAATCTGCTGTCGAAATGCCGTTTGTTATCTTCTGCCCAGCTGCGTATTTCACACACTATTGTATCTATCTCCTGTAAGCTAAAGTTGAATTCCTGTATCTTTTCCACTTCCTTTGGATCTGCACCAAGTGCTAGAACAGAAGCACCGGCGATTTCCCAATTTGTGCGGAATTTCTCCATGTCTTGGATCCCATATTTGGCGGAATGCTGTAAAAAATTCCTGACATTTTTAAGCCGTTGGATGTGTTCAATGAAACCCTGTGTCATTTGTGGAGGGGTACTTGTCGTGGCATTTGCTTTGGGCCATTTTAGGTTGGCTTTGTCTGGGTGAAGATTTCTTATCAATAACACCAGCAATGTAATGTCAAACGTTTCCACATCTGTATGACCAGAGGCAGGGTACAACAGATTCCACTGAGAGTCGTATATGGCCTTTGTTTTCTTGAGTTTCTCAAGTTCCTTTCTCACGCCTTTCTTGCCTAAAAACTGAACCACTGCATTGTTATCACTGATGTCCCCACCGTCAGTGATGCCAGGCCTAACAACATCCTTGAGGAAGAAGGTTTTAATGGCTTTCGTTCCAAGTTCAATAACGAGATAATGCAGCCTTGTAAACCTCTGTGTATGGATAAATGACACATTCGGGCCACTCGCACCTACAAATAGAAAATTCTGATAATGATCAATGCTTTTTGTACAATAATTTTATAAGGAAAGAGAGTGAGTAGTATACTAGTGTGTGTGTGTGTGCGTGCATGCGTGCGTGTGTGTTTTTGTGTGTAAAATATACGGCAATCACCCTGCATTATGGGAGAAATATGTAGTCAGTGAAATGTGCTGTCATATGAACAGGGGGGGTACATGCTAATAACATTATGCTATTTCTTTATATTGAAGATTTGTAAAAAAAAATAAAAGTAAAAATAAGAATAATGAACGCACCTCTAAGCCTAACCCAAGCACTACCAAATACAAAATTACCTGGTTCACTTGTTTGTACTGCCTGTGCACTATCTGTAAAAATAAGGATTTTAAGAATGTGCGCATGATGAACCACAATTAGCAATTATAATAATATATGTGTAATTTAAGTATGAAGAAACTTATTAATGGATATGTGTTGTGAGCAAAAGGTAACCCGCTGCACATGTATACCTGCCGCACTGCAGGTAAAATGTCAAAATATGACCAGGGCATATTCAGGCCTACCCAACTACCAGACTCGGCACCTAAGGATCCTGAATTAACCGGTATATCGGACTGCAAGACCCGTTTTCAAGGTGTGTGTCAGATCGCATTTCGGAGTATCAGTCGGAACACCGACAGGATGAGCCCACGCTCGACTGTCACCTTGATGGGATAGTAAACGATTGTCGTAAAATCGCTATTTGATTTTAAAACCGGGTGCATAAATTTGAAAGCCACCTAGATGAACCTTAGACCGCCACATTAATCTAATACAATGCAAAAATCCCTATCAAAAGTGGTTAAAACATTTAAACCGAATGTCGTAAAGTCCCCATATACCCCCAAAGAGACAATAAAATAGAGTACTCTAAAGCAAGAGTTCAGTTTAAGGTTGTTCAGCCGAGCGTGGATGAGCCCGCAGTCGTGCTACAAAATTTGTTCTGGGGCATGATACTCCGAAATGCGACCTAACACACACCTTGAAAACGGGTAGTGTGGTCCGATATAACGGTTAATTCAAGGATCCTTATGTGCCGAGTCTGGTAGTTGGATAGCCTGATATTAATTTTTGTCATTAAACGCTTTCCAAATATGCTTGGGCATTTGTTTTTAAATCAAAAGTTAAAACAATTCTAGCGCTGTACACGGCTGGGTAATAAATCTAATATGCAACAGTTTATATGAAAAATTTTCGCAACACAGAATGGCAATAGTCTTACCCTCACCCAGACTTTGATGCCCATGTAAAACTCGTATTGTTAGCCTGATTAAAATATAAACTGCATGGTGTTGTGGAGAATTTTCATATTGTTTTAACGAAGTCGATGGGCGAAAATTACCAATGGTTATAAAGTACAGAAAAATACTGATAAGATGTGTAAAATATCATTTTTCGGGGATTATGAAAATACATTTGACTAAGTATTTACTAAGTTAAGCCTATATTATTTTAATATATATATGGTTGCATTTAGATTTATGGAACGCCATTCACGCAAAAAATGCAAACGTCAATTCAACAATCTATCGGCACTATTTAACAGCCAAAACCTACTTTAACTATCTTAACTTAATTCTACTAAATTAGTTTTGGTCATTTTAATCATTCGTCAAAATCTAACAATCATTAACGATTCAAGTCAGTTACTGCAACTCAACAATCAGTTATCGCAACTCAACAATCAGTTGTCGCAAACGGTCATTCGCGGACTTAACACCAGATGGCGCGCGCGCACCGTCAGCGATCTGAAACGTCCTTGACCTTTTCCATGGTTTTAACAGTATTAAAATACGTGGTGCCTCGATTTGAAACCTTTCAGCTTAAATTGTGTTTTTAGTCTCCAAATACTTAAAAAATCAATAAAGCTAATCGACAAGAACCTATTATATCGTATATTTTACATAAATTATTATTACATATCACAATAATAAACGAGCCGCCTTTTGATGTACGCCCGGCTATAACCTCTATTAAAAAATATCAATTCTTTTTAGATTCGTATTGTTTGGTTCCATTGCCTCGCTATTAAAAATTAGAACAGGCGCTCCAAAATCGTAAGACGAAGTTAAAATTTTTATATTGGCCGAGTTCACCCCTGACTAGAATGCCTATACGTCCCCGCATCGATACTCCCGCGCTTCTTTACATCACCGCACCAATACTCCCCCGCACCGATACTTCCCCGCTTCTCTACTTCCCCACATCGATACTTCCCCCCACTGATGCTCCCGCCTACCAATACTCTGCAAAAACACTACTCCCCCAAAGCAAAGATTCCCTGGGCTTTGTAAACACAAATCGTGATTCAAAACCTTTTCTATTATGCTATTTTTTTTTTCAAGATGCACCACCCTCTTGGGACACATAGGGGATTGACACAATTTATTTGAAATATATTGGGGAAAAAAAGGGCGTTACTCGAAGTCGATCTCAGACTTTGCGTGCAGCTTAACAGTACGTAGGCCTATAGCTAAATATGAGAAATGTTTGTGCAAAATAAATATTGTTCTCCTACTGTAGTTACCGTATTTATATTATACGCCCTTTTATTTATTTACTTAAGGCAAAGTTAGTTTTAATCTAAGATGACGCAGCTATGTCTTTTCTTCAGGCAACGATGATTTTGTTAAATTATTAAATAATAAAAAAGCAGTGCTAAAGCGCTTCGTTTTCTGTTATCTTCCTCCAACCTTCTTTTCTGCTCTTAAACTTCTTTCCCTTGTCTTTTGGAGGCACATTAGAATCTGAATTGAGCAAAATTCAAAATTTCTGAAAATTGTTGGACAACGAGCATGCGTCATGAGCACACCTATTATTCTAGCAGTCCCGCCGTGTTTTCGACTTACTTCGTCATAGATGTGAGGGCGTGCGCCGTACTCAACACGCAAAGGGCACTTTCTCTTTCATTGCTTGCGACGTGCGTCTTGGACCACGCAAGTCTCACTTGCAAACTCCTCGCAAACTCCTTGCGAAGGGAGCAAGTTACGCTTGCGGCCCCGCTGTTTAAAGGTTATTTAAACAGCGAGGCCGCAAGCGTAACTTGAGATTATTTGTAGAATAAAGCGTAACAAAGATTATTTGTAGCATCTATTGGAAATGTTTAGTATCCTCCGTACGTGCTTACATACGTGCATGCGAACTCGTAATTTCGCATACAGGACTTGCGTGGCACGTGAGATTCTCCGCAAAATTTGACTCAAACGGGTCGTAAGAGCCCGTGCGGCCGGTTGTGAATGAGACTAATGTGTTGTCGCCCAAGATTTTTTAGGAACTTTGCGGCTTCTTTTGTACAATACTGATGTTCAATTGTAAGCAATTAAGAGTTGTATGCACTGCGCAATAGCATAAAAACAACATCACCAAGGATCTCCCAGTGGTCATTTTTTTTTTACTTATCTCACCAATATCCAAAGCGTTTTTCCATTTGAAAAAAGTATTTCTTATACAATGTAGGCCGTGCTTCCAAGTCGTTGACCTATTTTTCAAATCTATATGTGAAAAAAATTGATGCAAGGTGACATACTCTCCCATGATAGACAGTACGGTTCCCATCAATTTGCATAGGTAATTCAGCCCCGCCCTAGATTTTGACCCACTTACGTCGATTGACCCTAACCTGTAGGCCTATAATTAAATGAATGGATGACTCTCCGTTACCCAGACCCTCAGTTTCGTGGAAATTGCATAGGGGGAGTAATAATGCGGGGAGTATCGTTGCGGGGGAGTAACGGTGTGCGTATAACGGCAATTTAAGAGGGGATTTATCGATGCGGGGATCAATCGGTGTGAGGTCGTATCGATGTGCATAATGCAAAAATTTACTAAGGGGAAGTATCGGTGCGGGGGAGTATTAGTACGGGGGAGTTACGGTGCAGGGGAGTATTGGCATGACCCCCTAGAATATCCTCACAGTATTATCTGCAATTAACCTTCCTACGCTTTTTAATGTATTTTGCAATATAATTTTCATTCCTCCCGATGGATAATTTTATTAATCAAGAGTGGGGGAGGGGTGGAAAATCCCCTTGGTGCCACATATAACACTATAAATGCGAAAGAAATTACCCTATTTGTGAAGAGAAAATAAATGTATTTGTTTANGAGGATAAAAACACTGGTTACCAGGGTGATGATTGGAGAGCTGTTGTCCCATGTTGTTGTTCTAGATAGAGAGGATAAAAACACTGGTTACCAGGGTGATGATTGGAGAGCTGTTGTCCCATGTTGTTGTTATAGGTAGGGAGGATGAAGTTGAGAGGTTTATGCTAAACATAAAGCCTGTCTATGGATGTATTCAGAACATCGACGGCATTAACAACCAAAGTTGATTCATGGACTAACAGATCTGCAGATCAAATATGGATGACTCACTTGAAAGCTTGCCACATAATCCCCTACTAGCCTCTGATCATTCCCCGTGGATATTACGCAGCAAACTTTTAACTGGGTCTGCCGTATTTGATACATAGATCTGTAAGTCCACGAATCAACTTTGGTTCTGAATGCTGTCAGTGTTCAATGATTTAAGCAGAAAACTTTCCCAGCTGCTCCTCTGGGAACAAAATTGATTTACAGAAGATAACTCTGCCATCATTAGGGTTTAACTTGGTGAGAAAAGTTTTATTCCTCTTCTGAGCAAGTTCTGCCCCAGCGCAACTAAATGTTTTAAATAACATTTTGGGTTTTCCAAAGCTTTTTCAAATTTTCATGTTCATGGAGATCCTTTATATAAAAAATAACAATGTTTTTATGCATTTCTCTGTGGCATAGAAAGCTGAGTGTTTTCAGTGTTTTTTTTTTAGATTAAACTGTTTAGCACTTTTTTAATTGTCTTTTATGGGCATTGGATAAAAACACTGTATTTTTCATTTTCCAGTATTTAGACTGGTGTCTCATTTTTTTCCTTTTTTATCTTTTTTACTCTGCCACCAGATTAATGTGAAACAATTTAGGTGTGCATAAATAGTAAGAAGGTTTTAGTGCCAGGTGAAGAATGAAAAATCTGCCTGTCAGAGGTTTGAAGGTTTCCTGCAAGGATTACCAGGAATCATTATGTTTAACCTTAAATTTTCATGACATCCAGATTTTGTTTTCCAAGATATTAGCCAAGATATGTCA